CAGCCCTGCCAGCCATGGTGGCTGAGGGGGAGGTGAGGCAGGAGGCACCTTCCTCCCTCCTTTCTCGTCCCTCCCTCCCCGATCCGTGCTTGGGAAGACACACTTGGGGAGGGAGGGGGCACGAAGTGGGAGGGAGCACGCACGCTACCAATGGCCGCCCTCCCTGCCTGCGTGGCCAATTTTGCCGACGGCAGAGCTGGGGCTGAGGCTGCGGCAGGAAGAGGTGGAGTGGGAGGCACCTCCATCCCCCCATCCCCTCAGTAATGGCGGCCAGCCAGGGTTCCATGCCCTCCCCTTCTATCTATGGGTGTGCACGACATGCTTGGGGAGGGAGGGGGCATGAAGGAGGAGTGTGCGTGCCGCCAACAGCCACTCCCCAACCGCATGGCAATAACTGCCACGCTCCCTAGGTGTGCAGCCTTGCTCTGAGGAGTGCAGGGGTGGGGTGGGGCAAAGGAGTGTTGAGTGAGGGCTGGTGAGGTCACGGGTCAAGAGGGTGTTGGCATGGGCTATAGGGGTCCAGAGTTAAAGGGTCAAAGGGCATGGGGTGTAGGGGTTGAGATCAAAGGGTGTTAGGCACTTGGGAACAAGGGGCTGGGTTGGGGCATAATGAATAAGCAAATATGCAACTAAAATATTACCCATCTGCCAAAAGTTTGTGAATGGGCTTGCTGGTCCTCGGCGTAAAACAGACTGAGAACCACTGCCATTGGGCGCTGCCAGTACTCGAGCTGTAGCCTCACTTTCCATTTAAAGCGTTGCTGTGGCAGCACTACTGCGGCTGCACGTTGAACTGTCAAATGTAGACAAAGCCTGAGACTCTTGTGCTCCGGGGCTGGCCTTCCTGTGTAACCCGGCTTCCCCTGGCTGGTTCCTAGGCTGAAACAACTGCCAGGCAAGGTTGGCCACACTGGGAGAACAGGCTCAGGGAAGAAGGGATCTTGGCAGGTGTAAGGCACCTGCTCTGTCCCCAGGGTCTCAACCCAATTCTGCCTTCAAGCAGCCAGGAAACCTTTTCCTCAAAAGCGTGTCAATTCCTGTCCAAAAAAAAAAAAAAAAACCCTCTGAAAATTAGCCAGATTCCTAGGTGCTAAGCTGGTTCCTTAAGGGTTAAGAATCCCTCCAAGAAAAACCCAAAATGCATGGACTGAAAGTGAAGTGATAATAGCCTGTTGCTTTTGACAGCCCTGCACTATACTTCAAAGGTAGTGGGTCAGTGCACATGACTGCATCAAAGGCTACCAGGCTCCCTAGCAGTATGAACAGCAGAAAGGTTCAGGAGCCTACTACAGGCAGGGTTTCAAGAGGCCTCTTGTTAGTGTCTCCTGGCTTAATCAACTCTCCCATTAGGAGAACACATTATTTGCTGGAGCTGTCATAGCCTTTGATTGATGACAATCATTAGTCAGGGCTGCTAGCTACGCACCTGACTTTATACAAAAAATGGGGCGGGGCAGAGAGCTTTTCACTGTTTTGCTGGCAGCACTGATAATATCTTAGTTTAATGGGTCGTTTTTCTGCACCTGTCCAACAAATGATAAATCTGCAAGAGCTGAACAGCAGGCGTGGCTGAGTGTCCGTGTTTTCCTCTCTTGAAAGAAAGAAAGAAAGATAGATAACTTAAGTGGAAGGGATTTTATATCCACCAAGGGTCTGAGAGACTGGGAGAGGAAATAACTTTTCCCCTCTAAAGTGAAATTGCAGAACAATACACTGTAGACACTTCAGATGCCCCTGTCTTTGCTTGCTGTGTGTAGTGTGAAGTGAGCAAACAAAGTGATAAAGAACTTCAAGGGAAGATTTGTTGTTTACTGATGGATAGTCAACATAGCAGAGAGGAGCTGGAACTATATTTAAGTATAGAGTAGTATAAATAGTTATCCTGAAAAATGAGCATCTGCTGTCACTATGGTGTGGTAGGCAGGTAATACATCTGGGAAAGGATTCTCTTGTTTCAACTATTTAGTCTGTCTGGGAAATAAGAATGTGTATGTTAAGAAACCAGATTAAGGCTTTAGCCAGACACACGTTGTACTGATTAACCTATATGGGTGCAGTTAAAGTAGTATAGTCGCTCTAGTTTAGACGCAGTTAAACTTATTCCTTTATGGCAAGGGGAGTAAGCTAAAACAGTTAAGGCAGGGCTCATACTTAGAGTATGTCTACACTACAGCGTTATTTCGAATTAACTTAATTCGAAATAGTTAATTCGAATTAAGCTAATTCGAATTAACGCATCTACACACAAAAACTATTTTGAAATAGCATTTTGCTATTTCGAAATAGCACGTCCACAGTAAGTGGACCCTGAACCGAAGTTAAGGCTGGCCAGAACCAGTGCGGCAGGGCATCAGGTTAGGACATAGTGTGTGGGGCTGCTGCCTAAGGGTAACTGAGCTCCGTGCTTGAAAGGACCCTACCCCCACCCCGAACAGACAGTTCTTAGGGTTCCCCACTTGCTTGTCTACCTCGATGAGGGACAGCAAAGCAGTCCTGTCTTGGAGTGCCCTCAGTGTCCACCACAGCACTGGTCTACATGGAGCCGGAGCTGCCCCTGGGCATGCCGGTGCGTCTCGTGGGGTCGTTGCCATCAGCCCAGCTGCAGGCTGCATCGGGGGTTCCACCAGGGGGCTGTCAGGATCCAGGAGGCCCTGCGAGAGAGCCTCCACCCCGAGAAGCCCTCAGAGCCTCCCCGGTCCTCCCCACCTGGGGCTCGTGACCATTCCTCCCTCACGTCCTTCCACTTATCCCTCCCTAGCCCCCCTTCCTGATGTCAAACAAAAGACACGTATGTTCAAAAATAGAAACTGGGTTTATTGAACAAAACTGTCAGGGGGATGAACCTCTGGGGAGACTGGGAAAAGGCGGTGGGAGAGGGGAAAAGAGAGGGTAGGAGAGGAGAGGGGGACATCTGGGAGGAGAGAGCTGGAAGGGGAAAGCAAGGGGAAGACGTGGGAGGGGAGGCTCAGGGTTGGGGGTCTCGCCAGACCAACTTGACTTTCATGCTAACCTGCGCCTGGGTTCGCATGTGGCCTTTGGTGGCCAGGCTGGCAGCTATCCTGACATAGATGGCTGCGTTCCTCCGTCTAGTGCGGAGATCATGGATGTTGGGGGCATCCCCCCCAAACCTGAATAAGGTCCATGATCAGGGCCCCCGGTGGCCACTGCTGGCTCTGGGCTGGCAGGCTTGGAGCTGGCACAGGCACTGTGGCCAGGGTCTACCCCTTTAATGACTCCTGGGCTGGGGGAGAGGAGAGTAAGTTTTCCTGGTTGTGCCCAGAGTGGCCACCAGGGTTCCCTGGGAAAGGCTGGAGGCCCCCTATTTCAAATTAAATGTCTACACAGCACTTAATTCAAAATAGCTATTTCGAATTTGGCGTTACTCCTCATAGAATGAGGTTTACCAAATTCAAATTAAGGGCTCCACTATTTCCAATTAAATTTTGAATTAAATTTGAAATAGCAGTTTGCATGGATAGACACTATTAAAGTTAATTCGAAATAACAGCTGTTATTTCAAATGAACTTTGCAGTGTAGCCATACCCTATTAGAGAATAATCCAGCTTCTGACAAATGAGAGTCAGAGCTTCCTGAAGATGGGGTTATCCTGTACCATAGGCTGGGCACAAAAGACAGTTATTGATGTTCTTCGAGATGTGTTGCTCATGTCCATTCAACATAAGTGTGCGTGCTTGCCACATGCACCAGTGCCAGAAGATTTTCCCTTAACATCACCTGTACAGGAAACAGCTCAGTGGCATGCAAATGCTATGCTGATCCATTATTTCAGTTCCTATGTGCCTATGGATTTGCTCCGAGGCTTGTCTTTCATGCATTGTGAACAATAATTGATAAAAACCAATGGCTTTGTGGTGCATGCTTTTGATTATGTAAACAACTTCATTTTATTGCATAACTTCCTAATCAATGGAGAGGTGGCAACACAAAGGTGGTTTTTGTGGCGTGGAGCATGTCTTATTTATAGAAAAGGATTACAGAGCTATGTGGAGAATCTCAAAGCACTTATCTGTTGTGTTGCTAAGGCCAGTACTGCTATACATTTTAGAGATCAGGAAGAAGGAGCAAGATTTTGTTTTGAAGAACTTTCTTATCCTAGAAACATTCACATTAAATCCTGCAGGAAAATGGGAAGAAAAGGTTTTTTTGCATATAACAATAGGAAATCGTTGCAGGCATCCAGATACTTGCCCTGCTTCACTTGTTTCCTCCCATGCCGGACAGCATGAAAAAGTGCCTCTCAAACTCAGGAAGTTCCTAACAATTTGCACTGTTTTCTGGTCTCTGCAGATTCTGCCAAATCCCCTCCCTCCCCCATCTTTTAATTTCTAAGATGATCCTTTGTCTCTGTAGCAATATTGTGAGTTGGTAGCTAAGGATGTAACTCATCCCATTTTTCAGGGGGCAAACTACAACAGATCTTTTATGTTTAAGAAATATATTTTGGTTTCATTCCAGCACAACATGCCATTTTGGAGAATCTCCTGTCATGCTGACCTGGAGGCTCTCAGGCACGCTCTAGAACTTGAATACTTGTAGCAGACCCCAACATCTCAGTGCTGGGCAAGCATCACTCCGAGAGACATCAGCTCAACTTATTCTTTGGTATTTTATATAATTGATCTTACAACAACTGCAATCGTCTTTCTTCAAGGGGAACCTTTAAGAGTCTGCATCAGGAAATCAGTGTATCAAATCCTTCTTCCATTGGGTGGAGAGAAAAACCTCCTGATCACTCAATGGGGATCCTTCAGTTTTATGGCTAAAATGGATTTTTAGAGCTGAAACTGGACTCTTGACTGTTTTATTGCCACGTGAATGACTTTGAAGCACACAAAAGACTTAAGGTCCTGGTTCTACTTGTCAGTTTTCTTGCTTTGAAAAAGGGAGAAAGGACACAGCATGGAATTTTGGGCATCACTGGACTCTTCATTACATCATGTGGGACTTCCTGAAAATAAGAGTGAAATAGTTGGGGGTTTTGTATTTTTTTTTAATTTATGAACTAATCTCATTACTCTGGTATTAAGCGCTGTACCTGTGTTGCTATCTTCTTTTGGGGGGAGGGTAAGGGGTCCTACAATTCTAATTTAATAGTTCTTTTCTCCACGAGAAACTGTGGACAATCATATTGTGTACATTATTAATGAGATCTTTGGGAACTGTTGGTAAGAATTATAGCTATGTTTTTTAAACGTGATTTAGATGGTATGTGAACTGTGCATGTGTCTAAACTGTGCCTTATGCTGCCATCTTCTTTTTGGCAGGTGGGGAGAAGTAGCTTGTGATGAATGAAAGGCATTAAATAAAACTACGTTTACATTTTTGGGGAGTAGAACACCCGCCTGCTCTTCTTTCCATGCATTTGCTTGATCTAGCAGATGTGTGGAATTCTTGCTTCCCCTGTGAGCTAGAGATGGACTAGGAAAACTTAGATTAGAGATGCCAAGTTTACAGTCTATGGGCGCTCTCTTTGATGGCATGGTAATGAGCAAAGATAATCACCAAAGTGTGTTAAGTACCAGCAAATTTGGCCAACAAACAACTTCTGTTCAACTATTAAGGGAAGCAAATATTACAATCCGACACATTTATTTATGTCATTTATTTATGTAAATAAATGCATATGCAAATTAGATTCAGCCTACAAGCTCCTGCTGAGCTGCCTTGGCAACCATTGTCAGTGTCAAACGTTTTGGCTCCCTCTGCTTGAATAAATCTCTAATTCTCAATACAGATTTTATTATTGTTTCGATTACAGTAGTACCTCGAAAGACCAAAGATCAGGACCTCTGTACAAACAAGTGACAAGTGAAAGAGCCCCAGCTCTAGAGAGGCTACAATCTACTTGTCATATGGGATGCCACTAGTGTGCAAAACAAAGAAATGGAGTGGATGTTGGTTGCAAGGAGATTGTAACAATAAAACAAAGTTTAGCACATCAGCAGAAATCAGAGTTTGCCCCTTGCCTACCCAATACCAGATGGGAGTAATTTGTATGTTTCACAGCAGAGGAAGGTTTAGAGGAAGGATGCATGGGAGATGATTAAATGGCCATATCCTCAAAAGAGAAACAGTATAACAGAATGTATTGGCCTCATTATCAATGCAGCATATTTACTGTTTGCACACAGGTGTGAAGTTAAATAGGTTTTAAAGATACAACAGTTGTAGCTACACAGCCTGAGAATTTCAAAACATCCACTTCAGGAAATAAAGATCCATTGCCAGCTTTGAGGGCGGGAGTTCCTGCAGGGTGAGTGTGGAGTACTGACCACAGAATAATTTAATCTCAGCATCTGGCTCAAAAGTTTCAGCCATGCATGCAGCATCTGCAAAGTATGTTATCCACACTGGCTTACAGCAGGCAGCAGATAAAAAATGTCTGTTTCAGGTCCGGGCAAGGCACAAAACAAAACAAAGTATGATTCTCCAGCAGAGGAGTCACTGGTTCTATGGGCTTCTGAGAGAGGGAGTCTAGGACAAAGCAAAGTCTTTCTGCACTGTTTGGCCAGCACAATGATTAAATTTGGCTGCAAAACTAGCACAAGAAACCAGAGAAATTAGGGGAAGGGGGAAATGTGAATGACAAACAGGCTCCAATGAGATAATACAAGTGTGAATAAAACCTCCAAAAGGCAGTGGCTCTGGGGAATTGTAGGCCACTAATAGTGAAGCTGCAGCTTTCAGGAACTTGCCAATCAACTGTTTCTCATGGAATTCTGAGGCATTGGCTGGCTCATTTTACCCAATAGCACATTCTTTCTGAAGCAAGTTAAAGACTTTGCTTTCGGAACATGTTCGGACATTCTCTGGCTCACTTACGTGCTTGTGGTTTTCCTTCACTTCACTCTCCCTCTCCCCCCACCCCAGCTCAACAGAGTTATAGGATTTAGCTTCTCTCATGTTAATACACACACCCTTGCTCTCCCCCGTGTAGGGCCCATATTCATCTCTCCTATGACTCTGTAACATTTACTGACATGCCAACAAGAACATTGTTATTTCACAGACCTGGCATGCCACCAGGAAGAAGTGTCCCCTTCTCACTAAAAAGAGTGGCTTCAGCTTTCCCTGTCTCAGGGAATCTAGGTTTAGTTCTGCAAATAGCTGGTTACCTGCAAATACGTATCAGTCCTAGGTTAGCAGCTGGGAATGCCCGTATCCAGGCATATGCCAGACTATTCTGTGTAACCATATTTTAAAATATTTTGAAACACTGGTGCAGCTTGACAGTCCTTTCTATACTACACCAACAACCAGGTTGGGGTAGCCATAAGGTGACCAGATTCTGTAAGCCACCTCTGAGTTCCAGGTGAGCAAACTGAGCCTTGCCTGACATACTGATGACATTATTAATATAATCACAGCCTCTCCACTTCCTGAGGGTCAACATTTCTCCCTCTGAACTGATCCCACAGGCTTTTTTATTCTTGTTTTAAGTAAAAACAAGACAGAGATATGTCCTATATGGTAGATTATATTATGGCCTCTTGGGACTTGAATGGGACTATAAGAGTTGCAGTGTTACTGCCACTGACTTGTCAACACTTCAGTGAGCAAAATATATTTCCAAACAGAGAAAAACAAGCTGCACTAAGCTTTGGCTTGTTTCATCATTGGCTTGCATTTCCAGAGAATCCTTTGTTCTATTATTGGCTGTCTGCCTGTTACTGTGTAGCACTGTATTTAGAATAATTTGTATCTTCCCATCTAGTATTGATTAATTGTTTTCATAGTGACCTTCGTTCCATAGCACAAGCTTGAAAAGAACTTTCTCCTTTAAAGTCCTCTTGTAAGGGGAGTAGAGAACCCCTTTTCAAATGTCAGTCACTAAATTAAGTTCATGCATCTGATGAAGTGAGCTCCAGCCCACAAAAGCTTATACCCAAATAAATTTGTTAGTCTTTAAGGTGCCACAGGTCTCTTCATTATTTTTATGATATTTAAACAGTCTATCAGGCTTATTGTAGTTGTGATAGCACAATTTATAGTTAAGATACTAGTAGATTGCCTCGGTTCTTCATAGAATCATAGAACCATACAGCTGGAAGAGACCTAAGAAGCCCATTAAGTACAGGCCCCTGCCCAAGGCAGGACCAATCCCAAATTAAAACAACTCAGCCAGGACTTTGTCAAGCCGAGACTTAAACACCTCTAGGAATGGAGACTCCACCACCTCCCTAGGTAACCCATTCCAGTGCTTTACCACCCTCCTAGTGAAATAGTTTTTCCTAATATCCAACCTGGACCTCTCCCACTGCAAGTTGAGACCATTGCTCCTTGTTCTGCCATCCATCGCTACTGTGAACAGCCTTTCTCCATCCTCTTTGGAACCTCCCTTAAGGAAGTTGAAGGCTGCTATCAAATCCCCCCTCACTCGTCTCTTCTGCAGACTAAATAGACCCAACTCGCTCAGCCTCTCCTCATAGGTCATATGCTCCAGCCCCCTAATCATTTGGTCACCCTCCGCTGGACCCTCTCCTATGCGTCCACATCCTTCCTGTAATTGGGCCCAGAACTGGACACAATACTCCTCACCAGAGCCGAATAAAGAAGAATAATCACATCTCTGGATTTACTGGCAATGCTCTTCTTAATGCAACTTAATATGCCATTAGCCTTCTTGGCTACAAGAGCACACTGTTGACTCATATCCAGCTTCTCATCCACTGTAATCCCCAAGTCCTTTTCTGAAGAACTGCTACTTAGCCATTCAGTCCCCAGCCTGTAACAATGCTTGGGACTCTTCCGTCCCAAGTGCAAGACTCTACACTTGTCTTTGTTGAACCTCATCAGATTTCTTGTGGTCCAATCCTCCAATTTGTCTAAGTCACTCTGGACTCTATCCCTGCCCTACAGCGTATCTACCTCTCCCCCTAGCTTAGTGTCATCTGCAAACTTGCTGAGAGTGCAATCCATCCCCTCATTCAGGTCATTAATAAAGATGTTGAACAAAACCAGTCCCAGAACCGAACCTTGGGTTCGGCAAGAAACCAACCACCATCCTGACATCGAGCCATTGATCACTACCCATTGGGCCTGACCTTCCAGCCAGCTTTCTATCCATCTTACTGTCTATTTACCCAATTCACATTCCCTTAACTTGCTGGCAGGGGGTTGGCAATGTGGGGTAGGAGTCAGGGCAGGGTCTTGGGGATGGGGCAGAGGGAGTTCAGGAGGTAGGGGGGTGAGAGTGAGGGTTGGGGGTGAAGAGGGGCTCAGGGTAGGGATTCCCATCCCACATGGGCCTCTTCTCTCTCTTCCCAGTTCCCTCCAGTTGCCAGGGGCATTTTCTTAGTGTTTTCTCCCCCCAGCCACCAGGGACATTTTCTCTCCCTCTGGCACTGCAGAAAAGGGCCAGGAGCGGGGAAAAGGGCTTGCAACAGGGGGGCTACTCACTCAGTAAGCTGACAGGCAAAATGGCAGAGTCCCACCCATGCTGGCCACTCCTGTGGTGGTACAGCTGCCCCCAGTGGCCACGTTCATATTGCATCCTCCGAACATCAGTCCTCCCTTTGTATATGATGGGAAAAAGTCCTTTTCCAAAGGCCTCCGGGTGTCCTAACACAACTAACCCTGACTTTAGGATAAGTTAGGAGAAGAGGAAGCTGCATACCAAATTTGATGGTCCTAGCTCTTATAATTTAGGAAGAGTTCTTGAACAAATGGACTTGCAAACAGATGTACTCTAGAACACTGTAGTATCTCTCTATATATTTTAGAGGTACAGGCAGTCCCCGAGTTACGTGGATCCGACTTATGTCGGATCCGCAGTTACGAACGGGGCCCTCCCTCTCCCAAGAGGAAGCTGCATACCAAATTTGATGGTCCTAGCTCTTATAATTTAGGAAGAGTTCTTGAACAAATGGACTTGCAAACAGATGTACTCTAGAACACTGTAGTATCTCTCTATATATTTTAGAGGTACAGGCAGTCCCCGAGTTACGTGGATCCGACTTATGTCGGATCCGCAGTTACGAACGGGGCCCTCCCTCTCCCTGGTCTCCAGCAGACCAGGGAGAGGAAGCAAAGCGGCGGAAAAC